GCGCTAGTTATACGCTGGTCTATTTTTGCCCGATGGTCATTCATTGAGGTTATTGTGGAGCCGGGATATTTGAATTTTTCTACTCTCGGGAATGATTTTCCTTCTAAACAGATCCTCTTATTGGGGTGGACTTTTCGGCTTATTATCATATATTTTGTTTTGTCTTCATTTACTTGTAGGCCGATATGCTCTGCCTCTCTTATCAGTGTTGTAGTGAGTTACTCAATGTCTTCTTGATTACTTCCAAGGATAGCTGTATTATCTGCGTATCCAAGGATTTTATGATTCATTCCGACGTGGACCCCTCCATTTTCCTGTGATGTACCTCTTATTACCTTCTCCAGGGCTAAGTTGAACAACATCGGTGATAGCCCATCTCCCTGCCGTAAGCCCGCTCGAACTTTGAAGGCTTCAGATATTTCTTGTATTAGGACTCTACATTTAGGGTCATGTGTACACTCATTTGTCAATCTTTGTCAACCGCTTACATGAAGGAATGAGTAACGTCTTAAGGTTTTTGAAAAATAAAGAATTGCCCAGAATATTCAGGCCTAAGAAGGGTGAGTCAATCGGTTAATTTAGGCGATTACACAACGCTGAATTGCGCGAACTGTGCCCGGTTAATATAATTGGGATGATTAAGTTGAGGTGACTAAAGTGGGCATGTAAAATCACTGAGCTTAGTAACGAAAGAGTCAATAAAAAATGAATATGCGCCATGATTGGCACGTGTTCGTGGGGTTGATCTAAGCGAAGGTGGGAAGATGGATGGAAGAATGTAGACATCGATTGGTGGCATCAGTATCGAACCTTTGGGTTCACTAAGTATTATTACTACTAGTATTACCAGTATTATAGTTATTATTCCTCTAGATATCTGACGAAGCAATCCAAATACATACGGAAGAGAAGATAAGGTTCGATTAACATAGCTAAGAAAGGTAATATTGAACAGCTGATTAGCAGAAATACAAAGAAGAAAAAAATATGCACAAATAAAATAAAATAATACAAAAAATCTGGTGCGCGCAACACACAACTTTCACTTATCGATCTACTATGAATAGAAATTATTTTTTGGCAATGCATGGAAACAAACTAGAGACCATATCTTTCCTCCTAGTTGCCCGATCTTAACGAATTTTTTTTTTTTTTTTTTAGGAAATTCCATAAATTAAAAAAAAAAAAACAATATACAATATCCCCAAAAAGTGTATACTTTTTGAGTTATTCGGAATTTAATTTTACCATCCCTCGTAACTTTTTTTCCAGCTTCTTTTCGTTGAAGTATGTTATATAGATAAATTTAAAAGGTATCAAGAAAATTACTTTAGCGAAGTTTCATTGAAATCGGTACATTCGTTTAGGCACTACAGTCTATAGCAACGCAGGTTTTCTTGCATTTTTTTTCTCCTTTATTAACTTATCAAATTCTTTCAAAAGTTAGCATTTTTTTTATTACTTTGAATAATGTGAAATGATTAACTTTTTAAAATAAACCATATTAAAGGTACTTTAGAGGAGGACGTATATGAACATTGGGCATTTAAGCCCTGTAAAGTGACTTCTATGGGGATAAGACATGATTCATATTAAAGACCACTTAATTATACAATGATACACCTATTTCAATCAAAATCGTTAGAGCCGTTTTTGAGAAAATTGTGAAAATGTGTTTCAGCGTTAATATAAAGTGGCACTTCCGGTTAGCCGATTTTAAGGGAAAAGTTGCCGTCACATCCAAGGCATATACCTATCTTAAATACGTAATATCAGTTTCGTTTTTGAGCTAGATTGCTAACATACAAACACACAGACACACAGACCATTTTTCGGGACTTGGTCATTTCGACTCAGGGTACCTCAAAACGTCTATTTCCGTTGAAAACTCAGATTCAAAAATTTTCTTGATCGCAATACTTACCCTTACTAGATATTACATATATACGTAAGTGAAAGTAAAAATCTTAAATAAAATAAAATAATAAATTTAGAATGGAAAGCTCTTATCAGCCAATATTTCTTGTGGTAATGTATCCACTGAGTTTTGTTTGGGAATTGATGTTATATATACCTTCGAGCTTTTTCTTCTAAATTTATTAAATCGCTATTTTATTTAATTTAACATGTTTTGTATTATTTTATTTTAGTTACCCAATTGTTTTTCTTGTATTTCTGCTACTCAGCTGTTCAATATAATCGTCCTTAGCTGGGTTAATATTGATGAACCTTATCTTTCCTTCAGCATGTATTTGGTTGACTTCGTGATATATCTACAGGAATATGGATTCACTTTCTGTCTGAATTTGAGCTTCATGGTTTTGGATACCTCTTCTTCCTCCCCATACTTCCTCCACCAGACTGTTCTCTTAGAGTTTAGCAACTTATATTGTCTTTTCATACCATTTCTTAAGAGTGTACCTTAATGTATGCACACTTTAAGAAATGAACAGATTAACTCTACAGGAATGGTTTGCAGCAAGATGGTGACCATATAAATGGTGGTGAAGTTCTGAATTGTACAATTGTTAATTTTTGTGTTTCAGGGATTGATCTCTGAAAAATAATAATATTTAAATAAAAATTACATACAATTAGACTAAGTAGTAGTCTGCTGAAAGAGATAGGAAGAAGTATACCATGATGGATTAAGATAGAGGATAAAATTATTTGACTAATTTATTTCGTGGCTTTAAATGTGATAATAAACTTATATATTCCATGTTTCATGTTTAATTTTCAATAAGAAATATGCGGGCTTAGCCGATGTATGCAAGAATTCCCTTAATAATATATAATAATAAAATATATAAAATTATCAAGAATTCTTAAATCATCCGTTGTTAAACTTAAACTTAGTTTTACAAAACTTGGTAATTGATAATTTAGGAATAATTTATGAAAAAAAAATTATTAATAGAACTGTATATTTTTAGAAAGATGGAAATGATTGTAACCACAGCTCTTATAATTGTGGTGGCTCACCTGGTCTTGGGCCTGCTACTGTGGCTTCGGGTCCGCAAGTTATATTCTTATCCTGGACTTCTGGGGTTCCCTGTTTTCGGAAACCTCTACTACTTCTACAGAACTCTCTTCGAAAGATCCTTGAACAGTAAGTATGAACATCTCTTGAATCTAACAACGAAAATGGTTTTGAGTGGTATCAGTAAAAAAAAAAAAAAAAAAATCTGGTGCGTTCACTCACACGACTTTCTTACCTATTTCAGAAAAGTTTTTATATTTTTACATATGTCCATCAAGAAACAAAAAAAAATTAATTAGATTTATTTTCCTGGAAATTGATCAAGGAAAAGAGTTGAGTACGATTTATTTTATAAACTAAAGCAATATAAACCGGCTTAAAATAGATCAGTGTAAAAATTTCAATACCCTCTAATATTGCTGATCAAAAACTTTTATGTCTATTTTAGAAATATAGACATAAACAGACTTGTCGCTATATTATACAGTGGCAGTAGTAGATCCAGTATTTGGAGGGGGGGAGAGGAGCTTCAGCCCGAAAGCTATATTTTTCATAAAAATAACGGGTACTTCTTCACTAGCCGGCCGGCAGTGACTGCTTTCTGCCAATGTTTATAACCTCAACACTGATAATTCCCATAACGTATTGATAAGCCTTCTCCTACTTCATATCTTCGTATTTATGTTTTAAATTCGTATTATTGTGTGAACAGATACAAAAACAAATGTAATAACAAAAAAAAATACTTTTATTTTACGACACAAATATTAATGAAATAATAAAAAAACACTTAAAGAACACGTGTAGATATAAAAGAAAAAATATAAACACTATAAACGACAGATGTACAATTTATTTTCACTTCGTCATATTTATTTTGGAAGGCAAAATAGTTTTAAGCTATTTAAAATAGCGAGGAACGGATCCTCTCCTCTGTGAACCCGCCGCCACAAAAACTCGCACAAATATGAATCGAGGTGTTGTCTGGTAGTTTCTCTATGTACTTTATTTCTCTGCTTCGCTGAGCCCCATAATCGTTCTATGTGTTAAGTATGAACTCCCTTTGATGGATCGAAAAAATTATAGCGGTGATTCACTTGGAAATGGTCATAGTTTGGTTGTCGGGTGTTGTATCCTTTCTAACAGTCCGAATAAATGGTGGTTCCCTCTTCTATATTGTCTTTAATTCCTTCTAATAAGGTTGTAGCCTTTCTGTCATTTATTTTGACGATAAAAAAACCCATCTGTTTCTCAGCAAACTCCACCAGGATAAGAAGAGGGAGGTTATGTGACGTGACGTTAGATAACATAGATAAGAAGTGAAGTTTCCACCCGGCCTGCTAGTGAGGTAGTACCAAATAACGTATATACTTTGGAAAAAAAGAAAGAAACTAACTACATATATGAAATGGTGTTTAAGTGATTCCTAAAGTCCTTTTGAATGTAATTACACGAACAATTATACTTTAAGAGACAATATTTTTTTTTCATAAAACAAAGTTATATTTTACCATTTGGGAGAGGGGAACTCCTAGCTTTGAATTCTAAGTGAAACTTCTAGCTCACACCTCCCTGAAGGAGACCTGCAAAGTCCTGCCGAAACGTTATAGATTATAATAAATTGAATTATACTGACTTGGGAATATTATTTTATTTTCTTGACAGTAAAAATATGTTATGATTTTTTTTTTAATTTATGTATTTATTTAAAGAAAAATGCCTATTATATTTGTTTTATATAAAATTTTATTTAATTCTAGATGTATACAATTATGTTTAATTATTCTATTATAATTCTAAGCATCTTAATATTGTCTATAGGAGAGGTGTATAAAAAAAGATGAAGAGAGAGAAAGAAAAATTAAATGGAAAAAAAGCATGAATAATGAAAGAAAAAAAAAAAAAAAAAAAAAATATATTTATATATACATTTATTTATTATACTCATATAAACTAAACACTTCTGTATATTTATATATAAGTTTATTTAATGTCCTACGGATACTCGTTAGAGTATGCAGTGTGTATAGCAACCCAATATGATTGGGCAGCAAAGCTTTTATATTTTATATGAAAATAATGTGTTTCTCTCTATAATTTATGAAATGTGAGATGAAATAAAACCGTCTTTTGTTTAGCTATGGAAAAACATATGACCAAAGTTGCTGAAAAACATGGGAAAGATGGTTTATGCTTCCACTGGGGCTATGGCTGCAGGACGATGGTGATAGTTTCAAGTCCTCAAGCTGTCAAGGTAATATTTGATTTATTGTGTGTAAATATGTATATACATGTACATTTATTTTTATTTTCTTCACATTTAGTCATTACTGGTTCAGTGAACACTTCTTAGGCCAGATGATTCTCTGAGACTTTATAAATCCTACGAGATGCCTTAGGTTTCCAGAACATACACAAAAAGTTACACTAAGTGTCCAACTTCCTCCATAAATCCTCTTAAAACGAAGTGTTCAAATAATCTCAAACAGCTGGAAATCCTAGGTGTCCATCCCCTCCCAAGGTCGATCTCGCATTTAATCAGATGTGAACTGGAATGTGGTCCGATCTGATCATACCTCCAAATTTAACTTGTCCGAAATGTGGTGTATTAAATTTAAATTATAAAAAAGAACAGTTTTTTTTTTTTTTTTTTGTAATCAATAACCCTGAAAACTACAGAACCAATATTTACCTAATTCCGGCTAGATAATGTTCAAAGTCCCTGTAAGGATTAGCTATTACTGGCGACAGGACTTCCATGTTATTGCACTTTATTCGTTAGCGTGTAAAAACTTTACACCCGACTATCTATCACAGTCTGTAGAATGACGGATTGATATTTGAAATTGCACGTTTTGCTGTTATTTACATATACCGCAGTTATACAAGACCTTTACATATATATATATATATATATATATATATATATATATATATATATATATATATATATATATTATATATATATATATATATATATATTTTAAGGCTTCAACCACTTGGATCATTATTGACTTATTTTCGCTGAGAATTAGATAACAAGACCTTTGTAAAGTTCTTTGGCTAAGTAAGAAAAGAATAACATTAATAATTAATAAGATATAATAATTAATAAGAACCGGCTGCTAAATATCCATGAAGCAAGCCGAATCGTAGATTCGGATCTTAGGATAGGTTAGGATCTTGGAATAGGTTAGGAGGTACTTTTTATCTAGCGGGCCGGCACGAAACCTCACTTCTTATCTATCTTATCTAACGTCACTTAACATAACCTCCCTCTTCTTATCTCGCCAAACTTTTGAGTTATTGCATTGTTTAGTTTTCAGTTATTCCCTTATTAAATTAAACGTCCACTTATTAAATTATTTACTTTTGGCCCGTTTGTGTTTATTTTTCATTATTTTTAGTTTTTAGCCCGTTTGTGTTTATTTTTTTTTAGTCTGTGGCCCCTTTGTTTATTTTTCATTTTTTTCCGTTTATTTTCGTCATATTATGGATCTTCTTAGAACATGGGATTTGCTGTCTTTAGAAGGACAGGCAATTCAGTATTTTCAAAATGTTGGGATACTTGCAGACCTGAAATAAATTGTACATATGTTGTTTATAGTGTTGATATTTTTTCTTTTCTATGTAAATATGTTCTTTAAATGTTTTTTTATTATTTCATTTTCATCTTTTATATCTACATATGTTCTTCACGTGTTTTTTTATTATTTCATTTTGATTTTTTATATGTACATATCTTCTTAAATGTTTTTTTTTTTTTTATTTCATTAATATATGGGTCGTAAAATAAAAGTTTTTTCTTTTGTTATTACATTTGTTTTTGAATCTGTTTACACTTTCAATAATTTTATTTAATTTTATATTTGTTTATTTAGAAATATTACATTCTGTCACATCAAGGACATTTCTAATAGTGTTCAGAGAAAGCACACTCACACTCTATTTACAATAAAAAAAAAAATAAAAATAATAATACAGAAACTTAATAATAATAAATACAATAAAATAAAATAAAAATAAATACAATAAAATAAAATAAATGTATATAAACAAAAGAACTAACCTAATCATACACACTCGGGCTTGAGTGGAGGATCTGGCCATTGCCAAAACTCCAATAGATGCTTATTTACAAAAGGTCTCTGGGCCACTGCCGCCTCAACCTTCGAGGAGGATTGTAAGGATGGGTGGTGCTGGATAGAGATTGTGCAAGGGGATTTGGATGATAGGTAAGGTTCTGGTGAAATTTGGAGAATTTTTCTGGAATAAGGTCTAGGACAAATGGGATATTAAGGTCATGGTGTAGGATTTTGTTATTTACATAGAACGGAGCATCAACTATTGTTCGAAGGACTTTAGATTGAAAGGATTGAATACGTTTGATGTTAGAAGCTTTTGCTGTCCCCCACAGTTCAAGTCCGTATGTCCATATAGGTTTCAGTATTGTCTTGTAGATAAGTAATTTGTTTTCAATAGAAAGTTTGGATTTTCTGTTTAGTAGTCTGTATAGCTGGCCGTATCGTCGGTTGAGTTCTTGCCTTTTGAGTCTAGTATGCGGGTTCCACGTTAGTCTTCGGTCTAAATGAAAGCCAAGATACCGGACTGTGTCTGAGTAAGGAAGCTGGATGGAATTAAAGTGTACTGGTGGACAGGAACTGCGTCGGAGTGTAAAGGTAATGTGTTGGCATTTAGATTCATTAACTTTAATGCGCCAGTTATTACACCAGTGCTCAATCAAGGTGAGGTGGTTTTGGAGATTTAAGGATGCTATTTCGGGATCAGAGTTGGATGATAAGATTGCGGTGTCGTCAGCGAATGTTGCAAGAAAAGTATCGGGATGAACAGGGATGTCAGCAGTAAAGAGGATGTAAAGCACGGGACCCAAGACGCTGCCTTGGGGAACACCGGCTTTAACGGAGTAGATATTGGAAAATTCTGTTCCACAGCGAACTCGAAAGGAGCGGTCAGAGAGGTAGGATCGGAGGACTAGGTACAAGGACTGAGGTAAATGGATTTTAAGCTTGGAGAGCAGTCCGGAGTGCCATACCCGGTCAAATGCCTGTGCAATGTCCAGAAAGGCACCGGAACAGTATTCCTTGTTTTCTAGGGCTGAGGAAATATGATCAACAACTCGGAGTCCTTGTTGAACAGTAGAATGTTGAGAGCGAAAACCAAACTGATGGGAAGGGATATTTTGGGATTCTATAATGGGTAGGATTCGTTTCAAAAGGATCTTTTCAAAAATTTTTGAAAGGATTGGCAGTAGGCTGATTGGTCTTTAGGATGTTGAGCTATTGAGAGGTTTTCCTGGTTTTGGAAAAAGGATAATAGTGGAGTGTTTCCATAACAGAGGGAAGTGGGTGGTGCGTAGGATACAATTGTAGATATATGTTAGGAATATGACTGCTTTGGATGGAAGTTGTCGAAGGATTTGAGATGTAAGGAGATCATGTCCAGGAGCTTTACGGGGGATTAGTTTTTTTAATTGAAATTTTACTTCGGAAGGATGAATAGCTTTTGGGGGCAAGGAAAGTGGGATTGGTGATGTAAGGAGTTCTTCTACTGTTACGGTGTGGGCAGGATGGGATTCCGGATGTGAAATAAATGTATTGGATAGGTGAATGGCGAACTCCTCAGCTTTATCTTCGTCAGATGCTGCCCAGGAGCCATCACCTCGTCGGAGAGGATGTGAAATGCGGTGAGGATTTAGGATTTTTGTTGTGGTTTTCCAAAGGGAATTGTCGCGAGAAGAGAGGGAGGATAGGTAGGAGTTGAAGGATTGTGATCTGAAGGTGGCTAATTCCAGTTTTAATTGTTTGCAGTAGTAATTATAGGAGCAGCGGTCGGTAGGATGTCGGGTACGTTGCCATAATAATCTGGCACGGCGTTTGGTGCGGATTAGGTTAAGGAGGTGTTGGGGTAGAATGGTCTTTATAGGAATTCTGGAGGAGTCTTTTGGGAAGAAGGCAGTCCAGGCGGCTTGTTGGATTGTGGTAGTAAAGGAATTTACGGCACTATCAAGGTCATCGGGAGTTTTGAGGGATATGTTGAGATCAATATTATCGGATATTATTTGGCGGAAAAGGTCCCAGTTTACTGGGCCTCTAATGAATGACGGTGGAGAAGGTTTGGGAACAGGTTCAAGTGAAACATTAAGGATTAGAGGACTATGGTCAGAGGAAAGTTCATTTAGACGTGTAATGGAACAATTGAGGAGACTTAAGCCGCTGTGGATAAAGAAATCAAGAAGATCAGGATTACGGTTGGGATCTGTGGGCCAGTAGGTAGGAGAGTTGGGGGAAAGGAGGTGAAAACGTTGGGAATTGAGTGCAGACAGCAGGGTTCGGCCACGAGAATTCGTGGTTCTGGAACCCCATTGTTGGTGCTTGGCATTTAGGTCTGCACCCAAGATGAAGTGATGTCCCAAGGAGTTGAGGAGAGAACTGAATTGGGCATTGGATATGGATCGGTTAGGAGGGCAATACGCTGATGCAAGAGTAACCGGAAAGGAGAAGGTTTTTATCACGATAGCGGTGGACTGTAGGAAATCATGTATTGGTAATGGGAGTACGTGATGGGAGAGGGATTGGTGTACAATTACAGCAGTACCGGCATGTGCTTTTCCGTCAGGGTGGTCAGTACGATATGTCAGGTATTGTGGTATATTGAGGTGCTGTTTAGTGGTTAGTTGAGTTTCAGTAATTAGTGCCACATCAATGTTCTTGTCAAGTAGTAAAGTAGATAGTTCGTCTATATGATTTCTAACACCATTCGCATTCCAAAGGAGAATGGATATGGGTTTAGGGATGTGAGTCATTTAAGGATTTTTCAAAGGAGGGATGAGGTGAGATACGAGATTCGTGAGGAGTGATATGAGTGGAGTAACAAGGGATTTGAAATCGGTGAGGAAAGATGCTAACAAACTTGTGAGATCTGTTGCATTTGAAGGAGGAGGAATATGAGGAATTTGTTGTTGGTGGTTAGGTATATTAGGATGAAAAGGATTTTGAGGTTGGGGTTGAGGTTGTTGTTGTGGCAGGGCTTGACATTTATCGGTTAAAGTCTTACCTCTAAGTAGTTGGGAGAATGATACATCATTGTTTACAATTCTGGAAGGCTCTCTCTCTCTTCTTGTTCTTAGTGCTTCATCTTGAATCCGGTTTTTCTGGTGTCTGGTTTTGAGATTCTTGTAAATTTGGCAGCCTTTGTAGTTGGCCGGGTGTCCCTCCAAACATAGGGCACATACTGCTGGATCTTGTATAGGTTTGGTGCACTCTACAGATTTGTGCTGTTCACCGCACTTCACGCAACTCGGCAAATGGTGGCAATATGACTTCGTGTGGCCATAGGTCTGACAATTATGGCACTGCACGATGTCTCTCTTGGGATATGGCTTCTCAACTTTCACCATTGTGTAGTATATTCTTGTGATATCATATATTTTTTCGATACCTGGTGATGGCTCCAAGTCCACGAAAAACAATGGTAGTGGGATCCTATTTCGTAATCCTGGCTGCTCCCTGTCCTCCTTCAAAACGTTTGTTACCTGGCGTACATTGAAACCAAGCGTCGTTAGTTCTTCTTTAATAACTTCAGTGGGGGTTGAGGAGTGTAAATTTCTTATCACTACTCGTAAAGCTCTTTCCTGCCTCAGCTGGTAAGTGTGAAAATTCGCATTTGTTTCTGATAAGTACTTCACTATTTTTCGGTAGGCTTCTGCAGAATCAGGTGTTATTTTGGTGTCATTGGTCCTGTTAAGGCATGAATAACTGCCAGAGCAGATTTTATTTAGTTGGGTGCAGAACATCTGGAAATTTTTTATATTTTTCACAAATATCGGAGGAGGCTTTGGTTCTCTGGGTATTGCTGCAGACTCCATTACTTCTCTGTCATTTTGAAGCACTTGGTAGGGGTTTGGAGTAAAGAAAGGTGATTCTTCAATCGTTTCTTGTGCAGACGTACCTGGTTGGGGCTGAGGTTCTGGTTCTGAAGTGTTCATTTTGGTCACTGGAGGTATATCTCGTAGGCAGCGACGAGTCCTTTGTTTGGCTGGTGAGCTAACTCCGTCTGACCGAGACCTCTTGGGCACCTTACTGGCCATCACTTGCTGATCATACCGCATATCATAAGAGAAAAAAAATAAATAAATAAAAAAAAAAAAAAAAAAAAAAATTTTAAGATAACAAAAAAAAAAGATGCCAACAGTAAATATCAACTGCTCTGATATACACTTTAACTGTATCACGTGAATAATCAGAGATATTCCGCTATAAAATTGGTAAAAACTGAGAGAGGAGTTGAGGAGACAACCTTCGCATCAGCTGATCCCAGCTGATATCCTCACTTTCAATAATAGGAATTTAATACAATAATAAGAAGATATGAAGTAGGAGAAGGCTTATCAATGGGTTATGGGAATTATCAGTGTTCAAGTTATAAACATTGGCAGATAGCAGTCACTGCCGGCCCGCTAGACGAAAAGTACCAGTTAGGATCTTAGGCTAGGTTAGGATCTTGCAATAGGTTAGGACCTTAGGATTGGTTAACATCTTGAAATAGGTTAGGATCTTAGGATAGGTTAGGATCTTGAAAATGTGAATCTGAATACAGTCCTCCTTACTTAAACGGTGATTATGGGAAAATGGGGAGCTAAGGCGCCTGCGAAAATACTCAACGTGGAGAGGCTTTTAGCAGAGGGGTGGCTGAGCCGGCTAACGTGAGTACACAAGAGGGGGGCTTTTAATTCTGCCATTAGTCCCCCGCTCTCACTCCCTGGCCTGGGAAAATCCCGTATAGCTTAAAAAAATAATCTGAGCATCGAACCATTGGGCTACCTAAGTCTGTTATTAACTTTTTTACTATTGATATTTTTTGTACTGTATTATTAATATTTGTGTTTTTATTTAGGAACTAGCATTCCATCCAAATCTGTCGGATAAACCACATTTCGCATACCGATCGCTTACCCCCTATTTCCTAGGACCTTTTATCACATCCCGTAAGTAGTGAATAGAATATTTTTGTCATATTTTTCTTGTATAGAGCATAATATTGTGTATAATTATTATATGGTAAGGTTGATTTTATTGTTATTGTCACCAAATGTGCGATGAGACTAGGTGTTGATATGGACTACCGAAGTGTGAGGGCTCTACGACAGTCGCTGAGAGTGGATTCTTTTGAAGAATGGGCCAGTTTCAGGTGGCAAGGCGTTGGAGTTAGGCATCTTGAAGAGACCCCGAAAGCTAAAAATATACACTGACAGGCACAAAATTCCACCCACTTGATTTTTCCATGTTTTCATCTAAAAATATTTCTGTAAAGTTGTATTTGTATATAATACATGGTATTTGTAGATAATACTTAGTATTTATGGAATTTTATAATCTTTTTTACCTTTAATAATCAAAATGTGATTGGGTAAGAATGATTAGAGAAAAAAAAAATTGAAAAACGAACCGTTATTATTCTAAAAGAAATTAATTGCATCAACGTTTAGTAGCGCGTGTTTCCTCCTCTTGCCTTCACTACTTCTTGAAGACGCCTCGGCATACTTTCCACCTGTCGGGAAATGTCCCTTTGCTGGAGGATAGCCCATTCCTCCCGAAGAGCCCTTTAAAGGTCCTGCAGTGTATCAGGAAGTGTTGCACACGCTCTTATTCGTCTTCCGAGGTTATTCCATAAATGCTCAATGGGGTTCAAATCTGGAGAACGTGCTGGCCAGTCTAAAACCTCAATATTGTTCTGTTGAAGGAACGTCTACCTATGCGGGCGGCATGTGGGCGTGTATTATCGTGCATTAGAATAGAACGATGGCCGATTTCGTTGAGGATAGGCAACACATGAGGTTCCAAAATCTCATCTACATAGCGAATGGCCGTCAAAGACCCTCCATGAACAACAACCAATTCTGTGTGGTGCTCCATTGAAATCCCAGCCCACACCATTAAGGAACCACGTTGGAAAGGTTGGCTCGGGGAAAAATTACAGCCTGCATATCTTTCATCTTTCGTTTCTTCTTCTTCACAATCTTTCACACCCGTCTGGAGATCGAAGAGCGAATCTTGACTCATCTGTAAAAAGTACAGCACTCCATTCGTCCATAGTCCAATGACTGTGTTCTTGAGCAAAAGCCAGCCGTGTTACTCTGTCAGTTCTGGTCAACTCTGGTCCTCTGCCTGGACGAAAAGCCATTAATTCATGCTCATTTAATCTTCTCCGAGCGGTACGTTCAGAAATTTGCACACCTCGAACTTCTTTGGGCTGATGAATCGCTTGAACAACGGTAAGGTGCCGGTTTCCTAAAATTCTCTAAGTCAAAAACCGGTCATCCCGTGGTTCTGTTACCCTAGGCCGTCCAGAGTCGGGCCTTCTATTGTAAGAACCAGTTTCCCGAAAACGCCTGACGGCGTCTCGTAAAGCTTCATATGGAACTCCGATGGTATTAGCTGCATATTTAATGGAACGTCCATCATCAATAAGTGCCACATCACGCGCAACATCCTCGGCACTAAGAGGCATTTTTCAACTTAATATTGAAAAAATTAAAAGCCGGAGACTAAGAAATGTACTGCAAGAAACGGCTCTGAACTAATAATACTGAATAAACATTTTGATTCCATAGAAAGTAAACATTGGAATCTAGAATCATTTCATTGAATTAAGGATTAAGGGTTATTGTCCTCTATATTTACATTCCTAATTAAAAAAAAACAAAAAGATTACCTATTTATTCATTAAAAACAATAGACCAATCCAAAACAGAAATATATTTAGATGAAAACATGAAAAAATCAAGTGGGTGGAATTTTTTGCCTGTCAGTGTATATACCAGAAAGAAGTACTTTTGGGGTCAGAATGTTCCAACGCCTTAAAACTTAACATCGACCATGCACCGCTTCGCGGAGTCCAAGTAGCGGGGTCCTTTGGTCATAAATGCGGCAGAGAGTATGAAACACCAGCTCATGTGCTGGGAAAATGCCCCCAACAACTCCCTCCTCATGACACGCTGGCACGATTGGGTCAATTCGAGTTGATGAGGCTCCTTAGGGAAAAGGAATTCACATGATTCAACGAGGTGCGTTGTATCGATATTGATAGCTCAACGAGGTGCGTCGTATCGATATTGATAGCTCAACGAGATGTGCGGATATAGTTGCATTCTCCACGACCAGAAAGGCGGCACAGGTCTTGGATCTGTTCGCTATGAGAGCAGTGACCTGGATCAGGCCAGTGAAGTAGAAAAAGAAAAGAAGTAAATATACGATAAATGTATCTCTTTCCTAAAAGAGGAATTCCGTGAGTTCTTCGGAGAGTTCACCATGAGAGACCTCTGGTTTGGGTCTCGCGGTACGATTCATTCGAACGGGAAGATCCTCATCTTCCATGATCCAAGATGATCATCTTCCATGATCCAAGATCCTCACCTTCCATGATTCAAGATCCTCATCCAATCTACTTCTATGTGGCGTCGTTAACGCGGCCAGCTAACTGCTCTGTGGAGTGATATTATCTCTCCCACCTCTGTCTCAATTGATATCTAATCAGCTCTCTTTATTTCAATTCGCTCTATTGGCAGTTTTTCTTATTTAAAACCATAATGAGATACAGGGAAGATGAGGTATTTATAGAGCCCCCAGATGAAGAGGAAATACATGATGCTATTGGGAAATTAAAAAATAACAAGGCTCCAGGAATCGATAATATCCCATCTTAGCTCTTTAAACGTACTGAGAGTGAAATAATAAAATTCCTCCAAGAGTTATTGATTGAAATATGGAGAGAAGAAAGACTACCTGTTCAATGGAACAAAACGGTTATTTGCCCCATTCATAAGAAAGGGGATGTATCGGTATGTAATAACTACAGGAGCATCTCTCTCCTTCCCACCACATACAAAATTCTATCCATCATACTGTTCAATAGACTGCTTCCATTTGGGGAACAAGAGCTAGGAAAGTATCAATCTGGATTCCGAAAAGGAAAATCTACGACAGATCAAATGTTTACCCTACGAATCCTGTTGGAAAAAACAAGAGAATAACAGATACATACTCACCACTACCAAACTGGTTCGCCTAGTAAAAATGACGATGGAGGACAACGTATGCTTTGTTAGAGTGGGCGGAATGCTATCAAGAGGATTCACAACACAGGTGCGATGGTCGGGCCTGTTTAGTGTTTAACTTTTCCCTTGAGAAAGCTATTACGGACTCTGGTATCCAAGTAACAGGAACACTTATCAACAAGAAAGTCCAGATTTTAGGATTTGCGGATGACCTGGATCTTGCGGGAAGGAGTATAAACGCCATAAGAGAAGCTTTTAAAGCATTAGAGGAGTCTGCAGCAAGACTGGGCCTAATGGTGAATGTTGAAAAAACGAAGTATATGTGCACCCTACCCACCCACGAGGATGGTGGGAGTCATGTCTCGATAGGTCACTATAGATTTGAAAGAGTGGAATCATTCATATACCTAGGATCCCAGATCAACCGTAACTCTCCGCAAACAGCACCTATTTCTCCCTCCATAAACTCTTGAGAAGTAATGTGTTGTCGAAGGCCTCGAAAGTGAGAATTTATAAGACAATTATACGACCAGTTCTTACATATGGCTCAGAATGTTGGACTACATATAGGCGCATGGAGAAGAAGAACGAATGCTGAGTTAAGAGCGAGGTACAAAGAAATAGACGTATCAACATTCGTAAAGGTATCAAGACTTCGCTGGACTGGTCTCGTCATAAGGAAGGATGCAAACAAAGTTCCTTACAAGATCTTAGCTGGGCAAATGTATGGTACTAGGCGGGTTGGACGCGTCAGACTTCGGTGGGAAGACTGCGTGCCTGCAGACGCGAGATCTCTGCTCAGTTTTATGAACTTGAGGCAGCAGCACGGAACAGGGAACACGGAACTTTAGCAGGCTATGACTCAAATAATGGGTCGTAACGCCGAATAAGAAGAAGAAGATGGTACGATTCATAAAAGAACAAGGAGCTTCTTCGAGGAACTAGGTGTTGATGAACTAGGATCTTGCAGTGTTGCCGAGAGCATTATTCTGGACTCGCTTGTCATCATTTATCATCACATATATGGTAATTAGGGGTAAATTATGGATATTTATTTTCATCTATTTATTTATTCAATTTTAAATAATTTAACTAACCATATATTTTTATAATTGGTAATTGGTTGACTGTCATGGATAATGAAGAGAAGAATAGTTGGGATGGTCAGTCAAAAAGGAAGGCAAAAATAAATGATAATATTTATTTTTACATATGCCGACGTTTCGACCTGAAGTTCAGGCCTTCATCAAGGCTGTCTCTTTAAGTGTTGCAGAGAGAAAAATATCTTTTTTCTCTATTAATAGGATTATGTTACTTGCTATGTGTGCGTTATAATTTTCTAATTTTGGAATTTTGGGTTTCGAATATCTTTGTTTTTCTGTAAATTTCAGAGATTGTTTTGTATTGGTTTTACCGAAATATATATATTGTATAATTATAATTATGTTGGTATAGTAAGTATAATATTAATATTGCATATGATGAGTGATATGAAAAAGAATTTGGATATATATATATATATATATATATATATATGTTTGTGTGTGTGTGTGTGTGTGTGTGATTCAAATATAATTAAGTGCTGTGTCCAAAAAAAAAAAGGATTGATGAGTATGCTGTATATCGAGAAACCCTATATAGTAGGCCAGCACTGTTTAAAATAAAGCATTTCTCTCTCTTGAGATTATTTTGTGAAGGAAACTTCTTTCAAAGTTTATTTATATGACTAGCACCAACCGTCAAAGTTGTTACATTACATTATGTTTTAGGCCTAAAAATTACAAAATATTTAACGTTTTAAAAAAATTGCTCTGCGTGTAGAACTGAATTTATCATTTTAAAAAAAGTATTTAGTTATATCAACCAATGCATTTATTCAGTTGAAGGAAGGGCTTGAATTTAAATTCTAAACCCTTAAACAGATACATTTACAAATATTTACCAATACAAAGTAATTGGACATTTACTTTGTATTGGTAAATATAATCGTTAAATTAATATAAATATAATTATATTATATAATTACTTCTGTTGCAGGAGCGGATGATTTATGGAAACTAAAGAAAAAGGAATATAGTACTTTTTTGAAAAAATCGCATGTAGACAGAGACTACTTAAATACTTTAGTTAAAATCTCCGATAAACTGATTGATTTCATGTTGACTTCACCCTCAGCTGTTGATGTGAATTATGGGACCTTAGTATTAACTCAAAGTGTCACTGTGGGTGAGTTTTAAATAAAATATAACATTTTTCAGTTTACTACTTTTAAAAAATCATTATGAAATTCATTGCCCATGCAAAATATTTTTTCAGAAGCTCTATTTCGTAACGAAACCAGTTTAGTATATCATCCCCATGTTTTGAAATTAATGAAATGGTAAGGTATAAAATTAATATTTTATTTAAAATGTTTTATAAATATTGTTTTTAGTTAATTAAAGTTAATTATTGAATATAAGGAAGGAAGGAACATTTCTTTTTGCTGTTAAACCAAACCTCTTAAAGAAATAGCTCCCTACACCTGTCATAACCTATGATTGATTTAATTGAACACTTTAAGTTTTGCATTCAAATATAATTTATTATAAGTAAAGAGCTTCTTCCTTAATACATTGAAACTGACCATTGTTTTAAAAACATTTTGTTGAACATGCTTACTCATTGATAAATTTGGTGTTAATAATATTCCTTATAACAGTTTACTATCAGTATAATTTGATAATTAAATTTCAATTTTGGATTTTCCCTCTTTTTCTATATACCATAATTTTAGATTTATTTAAATTCCAAATCCTGCAATATATTTCCAAATTATTTATCATCCCTTGAATTAAAGAGGGGTTTGTTGCCAAAATTACGATATAATCTGCATATGCTAACATTTTAATTATTTTGTCATTAGAGAGAGAATCACTTTATTATTTCCTTTTTCCAATGTCCTTCTTCATCGATTGTTTATCCATATGAGACTTTAACATGAATAATTTGTCCACTGCACAATTGAGTTCAATTCACAGTGCAACCTCACATTCCTATATATTCCTTCACATTCCCTCACACAATGTCACATAAAGGAGTAAATACCAGGGGATGACTACTACACTACTGTGGGAGAAACATTAGTAAATAACCCGTGTGATGAAATATTCGCTTTGCACTGAAATGTTTTACAAATATCCATTCGAAGTATCGTTTCTCTACATTATTGAAAAACGTATAAGCGTTACTAAAATAAATTTGATTGCTTTTACCTAACTAAAACCTATTTTTCAAAATAACTAAAAAGCTATAAGTTAGAAGTAATGGTTCTGAAAGATTATTTGGCTGAAATACGATCAGAAATGTTACATAGAACATGACATATTTATCTTAGGCCTGCAAAAAAACTGAACCCAAAATATAAAATGCCCTCAGAACAAAAATTACACAGTTTTTATAGTCTCCTGAAAATTTCTAGTTTTTGTTCTTATAGGCTTTGGCAGTCTGGCTGTCGATATATTATCAAACTTGGATTTTATTGAAACATTATTTAGGAAATATCTAACAATGAAGTTTGCAATGCTTAGTGAATTTGTCAACCTTAAGTGGTAACCTCTAGAAAATAAGACAAGGGACCTTATTAGAGAATGGATATTAATTAGGTTTTAAATAACAGATATAATTTAAATGAACACTCTCACTCAATCTCCACTGGGTTTAGCCCCAGTGAAGCGGATGAGAGAGAAGTGTAGGGATCTCTTGAAGTCATCCTTATCATTCCACAGTTGGATGGGTAAGGCTGGCTTGGAGTTCTCTCGCCTGATTGTAAATAGTGTATATAGGTATGTATGTGTTCTTTTTTATTTATTTATTGTTAGATTATTTTATACTTATATATATAAGTTAAGCGTAGCGGGCTTGAAACACTTTAAAAAAAGTAATAGGTTTAAGAAACAACACGCATGAAGACGAAATCAAGACTGGTTTATTTCTCCTTCTAATCCTCTATAAATACCTTCTGAGATTGTTTACATCACTGCATTTGGTATTAACGCTAATACTGTCCCGCTCCGTACCTTAACTTATATATATATATATATATATATATATATATATTATTTATCTGTATAATTTATTTTTTTATAGTACATAGAGTGTGAATGTGATCTCAGAACACTACTATAAATGTCCTTTGAGACATATTATAATATTTTCAAAAAAATAAATAAATAAAAACTTTAATGAAAACTGTATATGAAGTTTCAGATGCCGAACGTTTCCTACTTATCTTTTAGAGTTACTAAACAAAAAAAAACAATAATAATAAGTTTTATTCATTTTTTTAGGTTAAAATACTTAGCACCAATTATTATGGGCAACCCGAAATTATCAGAAACAATATTAACCATGTTTCGAAAAATAGATAGAATAGTCATAGCTGAAATTGGAGAATTACGGAAAACGGTAAATATTTTATAATTGGTAATTGGTTGACTGTCGTGGATAATGAAGAGAAGAATAGTTATCTGTTGTTTTCTGGTTATTTTCTTAGCCCTGATGAAGGCCTGAACTTCAGGTCGAAACGTCGGCATATGTAAAAATAAATATTATCATTTATTGCATAGTTAGTAATACAGATTATTTACCTTTTTAATTCGGTTGGAAACCTCCCCATCAATCTTTCCATTTCTGCGGATGACTTTACCTAGCTGGGTATATTCTTCAGTCTTCTCTAAGGTTTCTTCTCTGCATCGAATCTCCACATTTTCTTCATTTCGTCGTATACACATTAACTTGCTCATGTTTGCATTGAGCATCATTCCCTTCCTATCCAGCTCAGCTTCTCGCTCTTTGATTACTTCTGCTGCAGGTTTTCTTTTGATCTGTTATGAGAACAATGTCATCTACAAAGACCATAGCCTGAGCAAGGATTGTCCTCATATTCCACTTTTCAACAACTGCCCGTGCTGTCCTCCTCTTGCATATTTTTAAGATTTCATCCATGAATACGTAGAGGATGACAAACAGTGGAGGGCTAAGGCTGTTTCCTTGTTTTAATCCTTTTTTACTTCGAAAGGTTTCGATTCCTTTTCATTTATTCTTATAACGCCCTTTGTGTTGCGGTACGTGGATTTTAAAGCATCTATAAATGTATTGGCTTACATTTTTTGGGCTAGAGCTGCCGATATTTCTTGTCTAGGGACCGAATCAAATGCTGCCTTGATATCAAGAATAGCCAGAAGCATACTCTTCCCTCGATCCCATGCCTTTTCAATGATATTCCTGAGAGGGAATAGGTATTCCTGGGTCTGGGGGTGCGGTCTGAATGCTGCCTGCTCTTCTTCGAGGTCGGCTTCTACGATTTCCCTCAACTTTCGTTCAAGGATGGATGTGTAGAGCTTGTAAACTACTTGGAAGAGACATATAAGTCTGTAATTCTTGCAGTCACAAGAGCTTCCTTTCTTGTGTATAGGAATTCTTTCGTAGTTACATTAATAATAAAAATGTACTTTAAATTTCACTCTGTAATATATTCTGTATGCTTTTAGCTTTTTGAAAGAAGCCTAAATACATCGGTATCTAACCAGCATTCTCCTTCAGGTAAGGTCAAACTTTTCGTAAGAAATTTAATAATATTTCACAAAAATAATAGCTGTTTATTAGTATCTGGAAATGTGCACCTTAATTATTATTTATTAATTAATTAACATTTAGTGGTGTTTTATAAACACCATGGTCCATGTCCTAGGCGCCATTATGAAACGCTTTATCTTTGAGTTAAGGTAAGCAGTATAACGGTGAATGACACAATGTTTTATTCAAATAAGTCACAAAAAATTTGACTCTTGGATTGCCAGTTCTAAAAACTTTGATACAATTAATGATTTATAATACATTGTGGGATTTACTAATTATATTTTCCTTTTCTCTCTCATTTTTTAGCTAAGAATAAGTCTCTATCAATGCATATGACAGAAAGATCGATAAAACATAATGATAGTGAAGAGTCAATAATAAAGGAGTTACAGGAACTGTTCTTTACAGTAAGTAGTTAGATTTGCATATTATTATAAATCAATTCTGACCTAGAATGCCATGATAGTAGTATTTTACGAGTTAATTTTAAAATATCGAACCGTTAATTGAAGAATCAGCTAAAGAGGAAGTTGAAAAATTAAAATCTTATGAAGCGGAGGGATGTAATGATATTCCTAGTGAACTAATTAAAGCACGCGGAGAAGCTGGAGTTTATAAAATACACTGTTTGGTTAAAAAGATCAAGGAGAATGGAAAGAATATATCCTGATTCCTATTTTTTTTTTTTTTTTCAGTCTTCCCATACTGTAACTTGTGCACTTGCAAACTCGATTATTTATTTAGCTCTTCTACCTGATATACAAGAAAGAGCTTGGAAAGAACAACATCAAATATTTGGTAATGATAAAAGATGTCCAAGAATTGAGGATATAGAACAAATGGAGTTCCTTGATAGGTATATTTTAGCAAATATATTATATATATTTATTATAATATTTTTTCAGTATGAAATAATTTCAAGACATTCTCTAAATTTGACTGAATAATTTGATTATATTTTTTAAAATGTCTTCATTTAATAAATTTTTTATTTATTAAATTTTCAAATCGATAGAGCCGTTTACTGAAAAAATTGTTATTGAATATAGTAGGGAAATAACGTTATTCTGGGACGAGGTCCTTTAAGAATAAGAGTTGTACAGAAAAAAAAAGTATTACTTCTGGTCAAAAGATGTATAACTACGAAGGGACAGTTTAAACACTTTAGCCTTCTTGATGTGTTGCCTTGGTATTAATGAATAATTATTATTGCATGACATTATCAGGTCTATGTAGGCTTGCCACTCGAAGCATCTGAAATAAAGTTACACCATTGTAGACAAGTATTGTTGTCGTTGGGACCTATTGGATCGACACAAAACTTTTGCAAATATATAACTTTCATATTACAATATATTTCTAACTTAATTCAGCATTTTATTATGCAATAGACCAGTGCTTTAAGTTAGTCAAATATGTTTAATAATTTAAAATTTTAATTTCTAAGTCTTGTCAATTTTATTGAAGGTTCATAAAAGAAACTTTGAGGTTTGTCAGTCCTGCCATGTTTGCAAAGTTGGCTACTGGAGACATAAATATAAGTGAGTATCATTTGATTCTATTAATTTCTAGTTTTTCATTATTTTTTACCAGTGGTAATGGTAATACGAGGCAGAAAGCAATAGGTGAAAAAGAAATAACTGATGCCTTATACAAAATGAAAGTGGGAAAAATCCTGGAAGAGATAACATTTCCTTAAAATTTATCAAAGAAGAAAGAAAGAAAAGTAAATTTTATTCAGGGATATTTAGTCCTCTAAGAATAAGTACAATTAACAGAAAAGTTACATTTGTCTGGCATTAGAAGAAAATAGAGACATAATTAAGTAACATAATTGGTAAGATAATTAAGTCAATAAACTAAAATTAAAATAACAGAACACAAAGTTATTAAATTGTAGATAAATATACATGAGTTTGTACACATAGGCAATATAGAAAATATCTATAAAATAATATCTGTAATATACATATATCTGTAGGATAACAGTAGAATTTGAGTGACAAATCCTAAATAAGAAAATTTTATTCTTACATATGTTCAGTAGATTAATTGCTGATGAAGTGGAAGAGTAAATGGTGTTTCAATACGTTTAAGGAAGAGAGTTTGAGTATGGAAGGGAGGTAAGGAATTTCAAAACAAAGTAGCAAGTATGACAAATGTTTATTTAAAGAAAACAGTTGTATGAGAAGGAATAAATAGATTTGCGGACTAGGATCTCGTGTTAAACGAATGTACAGAGGAACAAGAAATAAACAATTCAAGAAGATAAGATGGACTTTTGGTTGTAAAGGTTTAGAACAACCGTTTTCAATGAAGCCATAATGAAAATGTTAAAAAAATGAAAGAAGAAACAAGGAGCCGACGGGTTTTAGTGGGCACAGAATCAGGGAATTTCAGGAACAATTTGAAGGTAGCAATAGATTTTCGGATAATTAGGGAAATATGGATATTCCAAGAAAGATGTTGATCAAAAATTACCCCTAGGTGAAAGTGTGTAGTAGACATCCCCCTGTATTTACTCCTTTAGATGACAATGTGTGAGGGAATGAGAAGGAATATATAATATATAGGAATGTGGGGTTCCACTGTGAATTGTACTCAATTGTGCAGTGGACAAATTGCTCATTGGAAAATCTCATCGATAAACAATCGAAAAGAAGAAAAAAGGTCCGATCAGGTAGCGACAGATGGCGAAGAGGACGCCAAACACTTGAGGCCTGGGCACCAACACAAGACGTCATCTGGGAAGAGAGGCTTACTGCATTGAAGACTAAGAATATCAAGCCTACAGTCATTAGACATTAATATATTCACTTATATCAGTTGTCAAAATAAATTATTTTATTAGATAGGAGTGAATAGTCCTTTTATTTAGTTGTCCTATAGGCCTCACAATTGAAGAATAAACCAGGTGAGTCAATTCATTCAAAGTGTTTAATAAGTCCCACATCTCATTTAAGTATTCTTATTGTTTCTTCTCACACAGTGTCATAAAAGGTATTAGATTCCCGAATTTCCAATCACAGTTAAACACCCTCAAAAAGTCGATATCCAGTGCCGGGGTTTTGTTTTAATATTCAGGAGTGTAAATAACCTTAAGCCCCAATATAAAAGCGAAAGGCTATTCGCTATTCCCGCCAAAACTAATCATTTTACAATTAACTTCCTGTAAAGTGAATAGGTAGTACATTTAGGTAGAGTTCCTTATCTTCTGATAATAAAGGATGAAATTTAGAAGATGCTTGAACCCAATGAGAATGACTTTGGTCTTCTCAACATTAAACATCAAGCCATTGTCCCACTGCGTTAATGATCTCAAGGACAGCTAGATTTTTAGGCAATCCGCATACAAGTGATATGGTGGTCCAGATTACAGAAAGTGGGAATGAGAAAGAGTACCAGAGGTATGAAACCATTAAGAGAAGACCATTTGTTGAGTAACAGCTCGTGCCAGAACAAGCTGGATTCAGACTTACTAGACAGACCCAGGACATATTTTTCATTAGAAGGGTAACTCCCAGACATGGGATGGAGACAACTCTTTGATCTACTAGTCTTTCTTTATCTGAGGGATACTTTCGATTCTGTCCTGCATCAGAAATATGGAATGCTCTGCAAATTAAAAAAAAAAACGTACAAGAAGATCTGCAAAGCAGCCATAGGAGTAGTACAGATTAAGGGGAAGGAGGCGTATTTATTCCTCGTCTTCAAAGGAGTCATGCAGGGCGATAATCTTATTCCTCTTCTATTTTTATGTTTCTTGAAGAAAACACATAAGATGTAATAGAAGGAATTCCAAAAATTAATTGACATAGGGAGCATTGTTGAAGATGTCGAGAAAATTGTAAAATTATATTCTTTAAAGTAAAACGGATTACTTTTTCATACATAGATTAGCAGATGTTAGTTTGATAGCTACTTTTTTATTTGCAGATGGAATTACAATACCTTCAGGGACTGGTGTGATGTTTATGCATAGATACATGAGAATGGACCCAGAAAACTGGAAAAATCCTGAAGTTTTCGATCCAGATCGCTTCCTTGAAGACAATGAAATAATGAAACATTCTTATTTCCCATTTGGAATAGGTATACGAAGCTGCCCAGGTAAATATCTTCACATATTGAGTTGTCCATGTTCATGAATAGATATTATATATAACATTATAGATATTATAGTATCTACAAAATACTCTTTGTATATATGGGCCATTTTTCTCATCAGTTCTTTATCGGCTTTCATTAACGTTGTCGTATTAAGTTTTATAGTTTCCTTGTCTTCCCTTAACATGACCAAATCATCAGCTTAGCCAAGCGCGGGTGTTATTCCACGAAGATTTAATCCTTTTTCGGTATGCAGTACATTCGTAACGGCGTGTTCTAATTCCGAATTAATCAGGACAGGTGAAAGGGAATCATCCTTTCGAACCTCAAACTTTTCGGATACATAATTACCAATTCTAACTTTATTGAGCGTTTTGTCAATCATATCCTAACTAAATTTACTATTTTTTGGAATCCACTGCTCGACTAAAATATTATACAGCTTCTGGCGGTCAATAGAACTTTGTAATAGTCCAAAATTGCCAGAAAATACTTTCTATTCAAAATAAAGCGGTGAGTAAAAGTTGTGTGATGAACGCACCAGATTTTTTCGATATAGTGAAAGCAGACATTTTTTTTTCACATTATAATGTTATTATGCTAGGCTCACGATTCTATTAATATACATTAATACGATGACAGGCTTAATCTTAAATATATTATCAGATCTAGACATTACAGTAAATGTATTGAAGGTTATAAATATATGTTTTACTCATCTACGCAATATTTTTATATTTTACATCTTCTTTCACACTCGTAAATTGCAATAGTTTTTTTAACAATGTCATTGGTTTGATTCGGTGGATTTTATAAACTTTTTTTTCAAACTTAAATATAGTTTTAAAAGTTATCATTTAGTTATAAATTTTCATTTAATTTCCTAAAAACTATGTGGTTTCTGTTACCATCACCTTCCACGAATTTGTATGTTAGATATAATTTTTATTTTTCCAACGATATATTATACGTGAAGTATCAGACTATCATTTCGGGAAATTCATTATCAACCAAAAAAAAAAAATGTATCCTTTTTCTCTTTTAATCAAGTATCAAATTCTTTAATGGTTTATATTTAGGCTTTTATTGTTATTGATAACAATGAGGGATAGTTGATTATTCAAAAAGAACCAAATTAAAGGTATTTTATGAGAAGAATTTTTGAAAATGTAACATGTAAGCCCTGTTATATATCATTATGATAAAACCTATCTGATGTTAGATATTAGATTTACAGGAAAAAGTTGCTGTAACATCTCATACCTATCTAAAATTGAAATATCAGTTTCGTACGACTGTTCGTTTTTGAGCTAGGCTGTTCATACACACACACACGCACACACGGAGGGACGGACCGACCATATTGTGGGAATTCGTTGCAGTGTTGCCGTTTGTACGAGGATCCTCGTATTTGTACGAGGTTATGGCGTAATGTACGAGGTACGAGGATAGATCAGCCTCGTACCTCGTACATAAGTTTTGCTGACGTTTGCAATGCAAGGTTATATTTTTATGAATGAAGTTTAGAATTGTTTTACGGTTACTTTAACTGTATTATTATTTATGTTGATATGAAATACTGAACTTCTGTTGCTTTATAGACAAATAAATTGCAATTATATCTTCTTTAATTAGAGTATGATTATTATTTCCTTCATAAAACCATGATTGTATATATATGTTTTTTTTTTTAATTTCCTAGGAATAAAAAAATTAAAAAAAAATATTTTAGATTTTATTTAGTATAAAATAAAATATAAGAAACCATATCCATTATTTCCTTCATAAAACTTATTTTATAAATACATATTTTTTTAAAATGTGTTGTAAAAGAAAATTAAACAGAAATTTTTACCGTCATTTTTATCGAGCATAAAATAAAATACGAGAAAGTATATCCATTATTTCCTTCGTAATTATTGTTTCTTTCATAAAACTGCAATTGTAAATATATTCGAGATAAATTATTTTTTTTTAAATGATTACCGAATTTAAAAAAATAGTTTCTATTTTTAATCGAGTAAAGTAATCAATTGAAAAATTAACTAGTATTCATAATGAACCCATCGTAAATAATAAAAAAAAAAGTATTTTTTCAGAGGTCCACATTCATTTTGTGCAAGATCTAATTGTAAGCTAAATACTGAAACAATCACAATCTATTATTTTTTTTTGTATTATAATGGATATCTCTAAAAGCATCAATGCCCCAATAATTAATTTTTATTGGCCTTCCAAAACCACTAACGTCCTTTCATAAAAGTAGTTGTTTTGTTTTTAGAAAAAAGAAAAAAAATTAGTTTTTCCCCAAATTAAATCGTGGATCTACGGATGAATACTTATGAAGAGTACTTTAAGAAGTTTATTTAGCTATTTTAATTTTTATATAACGTTTTCAGTAGTTTATAAAAATATATTAACTTTTTTATATATTTTATTAAGCTAATTTTACTTCTTGACCCATTAACTTATAAAAAAAAGTAATGTAAAAAGGCTTTAAAATATATGAATGGAGGTAAAAATAAAAAATTCTGATCTAATTTTACTATTAAAAAAAAACAATAACACTGGGCTTATAATAGTACAAGTTATGAATGAGCAAGCGTACGAGGATGTACGAGGCTTGAGTACGAGGTTTTGTCACAGAGCGCGCGGTAACACTGCTTCGTTGTTTGGACTCACGTGACCTCCCGTGTACTGTATTTCCATTGAAAACTCATATTTCAAAATTTATACGATCGCAATGCTTTCCCTTACTATATATTATATTACATATTTAAACATAACCATTTAATTGGGAATTGTATTATATTACATATTTAGGTAAGTGAATGTAACAATAGATACTTTGGGTGAATTATTCATTTCAATGATGATAGGCGATAGACCTTCGTACTTAGAGTGTTTATTTCACAGATACTGTAATTGAAGTTTAATTTATGTAAGTGACGATTTATTATCGTGTCTAATATCATTAAACACTAGTAACGTTCGCAAAGATTAACAGATTTGTACTTGTATGAATTTTCAATTTGTTTTGTCAGTGATGATTAAAAATTCCGAATGCTCCTGATGCATATTCTTAAAGATAATTAGCATCAATGAAAATTGGTGGCGAGGTGGCTACGTCATGCCATGCCAATGTCTAGGTTATATTGTTCGCTATCAAACATTTTAACTTAGAGTAGAGTTTCCATATTCAAAATTTCTATCAACAAAATATCTTTCCGTTTTTCCTCTCATTCTGACTAGAAATAAAATTATTTAGTTCAAACCGTATTTTATTAGCTTGCTTATATTTTTCAGGTACATACTTCGCAACAATGGAGATGAAAATTACATTGTCACAAATATTGAGAAGACTGAAGCTTAGACCTGTTCAAGAAGATTTTCGATTCGAAGATATCCAATATGAATGTGCCATTATGGTTGAAGTGAAAAATCCTCCTTTGCTGAAAGTTGAAGAAAGAGCATGATTTATTTATTATGATTTTAATGTCCTCTATTTTTATTTTCACCCGCGTCTGATAGATTATGTGGACAACAAGTAAATGGTACTGTAATTCTAGAAGATGATTAGGGAAGGATTTTAATACAAGTCTTATGATTATTAATTTACAATTTATTAAATATCTAATTTTAAGTAAGTGTTGTTGTTTTTTCAAGTAAACATTCCTTTCTCATTTTTTTTTAACTACTATATTAACTTAGCTATCATACTATTCTCTATCAATTCATTTTCAGTACATACATATGGCCTCAAGTAGTCTCCTCCAATTGGGCCTATCTTGTACAGCAGTTCTCCAGTCATGCACGCCTAGAAGCGTCATGGCATCTTCAGTCACACCATCCATCTACCTCACGTTTGGTCGTCCCTTAGATCTCTTTTATGATCACTTTCTTCGGAATCTTGCCATTGTCCATTCTGGCTAGATGGCCAGCCCATCGAAGTCTTCCCAGTTTTATGACTTTGGAGATCTCGGTATCTTCAGAGAGCCTGTACAATTCTTGGTTCTTTCGTCTTCTCCATGTCTCGCCTACATTCATGGGTCCGTATTCAATATCGCTCTTTCGAACACCAAGAGTCATTTGTCTTAGTAGCCCATGCCTCGGATCAGTGAATTACTACTGAACGGACTATACTTCTGTACAGCCTGATTTTTGTCTTCAGTAGTAGATTGCTCCAAGTATTTACTCCTTTATGTGACATTGTGTGAGGGAATGAGAAGGAATATATAGGAATGTGAGGTTTCACTGTGAATTGTACTCAATTGTGCAGTAGACAAATTATTCATTGAAAAGTCTCATATCGACAAACAATCGATGAAGAAGGAAGAAGGTTGGAGGTACTGAAAGGACCGAGCAGGTTCTGTTGTTGGAGAAGGACTTTATTATGGTATGTGAAGTGGTGTAGATAGTACATTTAATCGCTGCATCTGGAGATCCGAGGTCATCTGTCAAGGCCAGGTCCAAAACTCAGCTAGGATCTCATGGTCTATGTTGGGCCAAGGCTTCAGTCCCCAAGCCGGAAGAAAACATAAGACCCATCCTCAAGGCCAGAACTCAACATCAGACCTATCCTCAAGGCCGGACATCATCATAAGACCTATCCTCAAAGCCGGACATCAACAGAAGACCTCTTTTCTTACTTCTTGGCATATAATATACAAATATTCTGGGTGGGGCAAGGATAGTTTCCATTGGTTCATAACTTCACCCTATTACTTCACAATAACTGGTAACACCCTAAAAGGAACCAATTACTTAGCCTGTTACTAGTTTTTACTCTAAGCCTTACCCAGGGTCCAGGTATAGATCGGTCATTATATATCTGTTCTGCCCCTTAACGCTGGTGTTGACGTCAGAAGTCGTTTTCAACCTTGTTTTTGACAAATAATAATTTTAAAAACTTATTTGTTATGTTCAATACATAGCAATATATTCTTGAAGAAAATTTAATTAATAAAAACTTTTTTTTTTCTTTTATGACTTAATCATAGAACGAAGCAATCAACAGTTAGCTAGTCGAATTAAGTAAAAACGTGAGGTAAAAATTATTTTCCCCCAAATTAGCTAGACTTAGTTGAGGACAGATATCTCAGAAACTAAGGTATATATCCAATCATACTTCAAATTTTATTAGTTTTAATTTTGTATAGAATGTCTTTGTCAATGTGATGGTTAGTTGTCCTGATATCTGACATCTGGCTCACCACCTAGCAGTGGGGACTTTTAATATGTTTACCTTCCTAGTAGTCCAAACAATGTCCCAAAGTCAAAAATTGTTTCCCCGCCATTTCCTTCTATAATCATTAATTGACTGGACTGCATCCTAAAGAGTTCCATCTATGAGTATAGTAACTACAGAGGCAAAAAAAATAAACTTAATATTAATATTAAAATTTTTCTATATTCACTTCAGAAATCCAATAATATATATTTTGTGGATAAATTAATAACTTTCAACTAGATATATCAGTATTGTTTTCACATTATCCTCTGGCATTTTTCTGTGAATACTAGTTTGTTTGGGCATTATTTGTTCATAAATAATAATAACACTATGTGTAAAATATTGTAAAAAATATGTGTAACAATATTGTTTAAATGGGATCTGAACCCATCAACAAACAGGGTGTGTTTTCTAAGATATGATGCATCAAAGATTTGAAATATGAGATTTTCTCCAAATACAACTATTTAACATCTTACTTAGTTGGACCTCTTTATTTTCCTACCTTTTCCCTAAAAAAAAAAGTATAATAATAAAATAATAAAAGTTAAAGAAGGCACATATGTATAATAAAACATAGGCCCATACATCAACAGAGATAAAATAAGATTTGTTATTGTATGTCTTTATCATATCCCAACCAACTTTTCCTAAAAAAAAAAAAAAAAAAAAAAAAAAAAAAAAAAAAAAAAAAAAAAAAAAAAAAAAAAAAAAAAAGGAAAGTTACAAATGTAAATTATTTGAAAATAACTGAGTTAATTTTTCAATTTACAAATTTTATAAATACTGAAAAATTAAATAATTAATGGTTGGATAAGGGTGGTATTGAAGTTATAATTAGGTTTTTAAATAAAAAATAAAAACGTAGAAAGAATTTTCGTTGTTGATTTTTTTATTGCCTATCACTCCATGTATGAAAACTTTTGCTTGCCAATGTAAATTAGTTATTCGTGGATTACTATATTCATTATTTGTGAAAAAAATATTTTTTTATGTTTGACAATTAAAGATTCCATTATATCGTACTTTAATAGAGTTTTACTTCATCAAAAACCTAGTATAAATGGGAAGAGTCAGTGTGGCAATTTCATTGAACAAACCACTTAATTCATTCAACCCCAAAAAATTAATTTAAATAAAGTATCTCTTTGAATAGACAATCTACAAAACTTTAATCAAATGCACTAAGCAAGGTTAATGAAGTCAGCACCCTGGAATAATAGACTCCGAAATGATATTCAAAACAACAAGGAAACCTTTAACCTGTTATTATAATGTGTTGATATATTGTTAAATAGGAATTTAAATATTAGATAGAGGATATCGAAACACGTGGAACAGATCTAGACGTAGATACACAATACAGGTGAATCTTTATTTTGTGTGATTTTTTTCAAATTCATTAGTGCTAAAAAATGATTTAGTTACTATTTCTCACTATTCTATATTTAAATTTTTATTAGAAACCCAAAGATTTCTACAGCTTTCATATTATCATATTTCCTATAGATGGAAATTTAATTTGATTCATACAGTTTAACTACACTGTTACCTGTAGATAGTTTTCTAAGTAGTGTATGGAAATCAAATTAACCATCAAAAAATGTTTTTGACACCCACCATCTCAGATTTTGAATTGTCTTGTTATTCTATTTCTTTATGTGAGTAACCAATTTTATTTATTTACTTTTTGCTCTATCTCTTGTGGTTTAAGTTTTACAAGCACCTTTTTTTATTATTCCCATTTTTATTGTTCATTTGCAGAAAATTATTTCTGTTTTAATGAAAAATAAATTATTTCTTTCTTATTTGGCAATCAAAATAGATGATTTTATAGTACCAATAAATCAATACGCATGAGTGCTCAGAAAGAGCTTGAAGTAGTTAAGTATGGAGTGGAATTATACTTTTGTGGTATTCCGATTTGGAGGAACATTCGAACAACTGTACACGAGAAAACTTAGAATAGACTACCTCAAATATAATTGCATGTAATAAAACATACACTTTATACATAAATATATACTTTTTATAATTCCAGTTTCAGTTGAGCAGGTTTTAAGAACAGTGGGCAACAAAAGTTCGTGAGAGAGAGGGTATGTAAGACTACCCCGATCAATATGTCAAAAATAATTTTTTAAAATTTTTAATAGGGCCAGAAAGAAATTTTGAAGTGTTATTTCAAAATGAAATTCAGAGCTCTATAATAAGTGGAATATCACTAAAGCAGAAAAGGATAATCATAATTTTAATTTTTGTTTAGCTCTATGAGAAATGCTTTACCTCATGAAACAGTAAAATTAGTATCCCACAACTTCTTTATTTTTTCCACTTTAAAATCACAAATTAATCAATTTATTCTTTTTATTGTCGAATTGAAATAATATTTAACCAGCTTACACATGTGAGAAATCTCGCTTTAGATATCTATCCTTCCTTACCCCTAATACAAGAGATATTTGGTAAACTTATCCATTTGTTTAAACAATAAAATATTATAAAGAAAGTCAATTCAACTAGCAATTGATAAAACTACTTTAATATTATCTGGCAGATTGTTATATTATTCAATAAATAAATAAAATAAAATAAACTAATAATATACATTATAATGACAACTTTGGAGTAACAGTGCAATTAATCAATAATTAACAAGCCCCACTTGAAAATATCCCTTCATTTTAACTAGGATAGAAACTTTAAAAACAGCAAATACCAAAAAAATCAGAGTACTAAAAGAACATATGATTTATAAATGATTTGTGTATTTAACAAATGATTAACTTAAGTAATCAATTATTAAATCACGTATCTAAAGCTATATACCTACAAAAGCATTATAATAACAAATATCTTAATATGTCCAAGTCACTTTTATCATCACTGCTGCCACATGCAATTAGTGTAGCCCAAATGAGAGACTGAGATGAGTCTTGGTTTTGCAAACTCAGTTTGGTCATGGTCTTGGTCTTGCGCAAGAGTCTCGCAACAGTCTTGCAGTTACTTATCAGCTTATTATTATAGAGATATTACTATATTTTTTTTATATAGGAGAAACCTAACTAAGCCCGAATGAAAAATTAGAGGAGTTAAATACAAAAGTATATATGTGATACACATTATTAACATACAGTGATACAACTAAGATTTTCAATTATTAGTAACTATTTTGGCTTAATTTTTATTTTAAAAAATCGATTTTTTTACCAGTCCTGGTCTTGGTCTTGCAACAGTTAGGTGGCCTTCGTCTTGGTCTTGCAAAGTGCAAGACGAAGACCGATTTTGGGCAACACTACCAGCAATGCTGCTGATAAAGATAGATCTTAAGTTTTCTCAGACATTCAGTAGGATATCGAAAACTGCATTCATTTTGTACATATTAATAGAGATATCGCAGGTATTTTAATTCGTTAT